TGTAAATAAAAATATAATATTTATAAAATAAATATCCATTGAAAAAAATACAATAAGTCAATCCATCTAGCCGAATCACGAATAATTGCTGTTTTCCTTCTCAATGAGTATTTTTTTTTTAAAAAAAAAAAATTAAGAACATGGAGAAGACAATATTTTTCATTAGTATAGACTATTGTATTAAGAATCGAAGCGGACAAACTGGTTCAACTGAGAGTAGATTACCTAAATGACCAGCGATCACCATCTATATATATATAATTGCTGGCTCATGAGCATTTAATAAAACCTATTAAATTATACCTATGTGGCAATACAAATTTTCCCTCCAAAAACCGTTACTTTTTATTTGTTTAACTTCTCATTTAATTATTAGATAATCAACACACTAATCACTTTAAAATTACAAAAATCATTTTAAACTTTTGATTTACTTACACCCTCGTGATTGAATGTTATTGTTGACTATTTAATGTGTTGACTATTTAACGTGATTAGATGTTATTGTTGTGGTTACATTTAAATTAACTTCTTTTGGAAAATAAAAAACGTATTTGAAATTCCTATAAATAATAAATAATTCACAAAAAAAATACATACCAAAATATACATTACATCCAATATGATATACGCAATTTAAAAAAAAAAATATTCCAAGTCCTTTTATTATAAATTTGGACGGCAAAAAGTGCAAGAAAAATTAATAATCATTATATGCATACAGATAACTCACAATACTTTATTTATACTTGTGCAAATGCACAGGTCGAATACTAGTTGTTTTGATTGGTCCAATTGTTTTGATTGGTCGGAACTCAGACCAATACCGTCCAATTTGAATTTTTAGTGGGTTTTTTTTTTGTAATAAATAGTATGAATAGTTTTAGATATATTTAAATATTTTTATACACATAAATTTAATAAATTAATTTATATATTTACATTTTTTAAATTATCTGCACTTTTAATTAAAGATTTCTTCTCATATAAAAATTACTATTTGTAAATCTATAAAATATTTAAAAATTATTGATAAATAAATAATGCCACACCCTGCTCAACTACTAACGAGTGAACTATAAAACTAATAATTTTACGTTATGGTTTCATTACCGTGCCATCTTTTTGGGTGTTTTAATCGTTAGATATACATGTAGTTAGTATCCAACGATTAAAACACCCGACAAATATAGTTAGTATCCAACAATTAAAACACTCGACGAATGGTATTGTAAGTAAATTTTCTCTAAAATAAAAACTCTGGTAAAGAGTATGGTTGTAAACGAATCAAATCAAAGCGAATACTCAGATATTCGATTCGGATTCGTTAAAATATTCGAAGATTCGAATTCGTATTCGATTCGTTAACGAACTTATTTTTTTATTCGTATTCGATTCGTTTAGAATATTCGAACATATTCGATTCGATTCGAAATTAGTTTTTTTTTTAAATTATAATTAAAAAATATTATAATTACAAAAAATAATTTTTATTTTTCATATACTTTTAGGAAAATTTGTTAATTTATGATGTTTTGACTTTTTATGTCATAAAAACAGTAGGAATATAAAATATATATACATATATATTATAAACAAAATGTATACTATATATAATTTATAAAATTTATATAATTATTGTTAACGAATCGAATTTCGAATCGAATATCTACAAATTTAAATTTGGATTCGTTTAACTTTCGAATATGAAACATTATTCGAATTCGAATTCAAGTCACGAATATCAAATATCGAATCGAATCAAAAAAATTTGATTTGTTTACAAGGCTAGTAAGGAGTAAGGACAAAGAAAAAATTTGAAGGTCTCTTTTAGTCAATTCACATCATCAAAGACTTTTCCACTCGAGCTAAATCAAGATTTCTTTTCCGAGTGGGTCCTTCCCATCATCATCACTTTGTTCAGATTTCTAAGTTCTAAACCCCACCACAGCAACCAACAACAAAGCTCGATTTATTCATTCATGGCGTTCATTTTCATCTTTCTTCTCAATTCATTTCCCATTTTTCCTTTTCATTTATAAGGGCTGAAAAAAGACTCGGCCTTTTGGTCCCAAACACAACAAAGCTTATAAAATTTCTTCTGCAAACTACTGTCAAAATCGAAATAACACTTTCGGAAATGCAAGAACAGGGGACGGGCATGAACGCCGACTGCGGTGGACTCGGAGGGCAAGTGATCGGAGACCACATGTTTTCCGGCGAGGAGCACCACCAGCTGAAGGCGGAGATGGCCACCCACCCGCTAATCGAGCAGCTGCTGTCGGCACACGTGGCGTGCCTGCGCGTGGCCACGCCGATCGATCAGCTTCCCCTTATCGATGCCCAGCTGTCTCAGTCTCACCATCTCTTGCGCCTTTATGCCCAAAACAAAACCCATTCACTCTCTCAACATCAAAGCCAACAGCTTCATAACTTCTTGGTAAGTCCCTCTATGAACCCTCCTTTTTTTTTGCAGAAAAATATAATCTTTTTACGTTAATTATTATTTTCATTTTTTGTTGGTTGCATAAATTTTGTGGGTTTTTTTTTTTTTTTTTTTTTTTTTTTTTTTTTTT